AACACACGGGCCCTCCAGTATGCTGATACTGATTATAACACACGGGCTGTCCAGGACACTGATTCTACCTATGTCACTGCTGGTATCCAGAATGCTGAGAACAATGCTGTTTTCCATTCTGAGGATTCCCAGGCAGTGTTTTCTGGATCCTCACTAGAGAGAGACTATCAAGAAACTCCATCAAGTCCTAGATTCACTGCTGAAATCTCTGAGCAGTATTACAGATTTAAAAATGTGCCTAGCACTTCTACAGTGACCTACTACAGTGACCTTGAAAGTTCCAATATGGACACCATCACTTCTGCCACTTGGAGAGTAAGGGAAGCAAGTACACCCTCACTAAGGGCATTTATTCCCGTAAAGAATCCTGAAATGAGGCAGTCCGCCCTTACTGGAGGCTCAGCGAATACCCGTGATTGATCCTAATGCTTTTGGTGAGTTTGGATGGCACCAGTGATTAACACCCTCCCTCTAAGCAAGATAGTAGAAACTTCTTGTTTCCTCTTTTGGTGGTTGGTTTGTAGTTATATATGCAGTGGTGACTACTATTTATTGAATAGATATTATGGGCAAGGCAGTGTGCTAATCAACTAACATGTCTCTTCTCTGGTGATTTTTCATAATGAGACTATTGTGATAATAAAATCTATTTTCTTTATCTTTCCCCAGAGTAAATACTAAAAATGATGATTGTTGTTATTAACAAAATCAAGCATTCAGTCTTACCTTATTGGTAAGACTCAGGAGCCAGATGCTGGAGTGAAATTCTGCTTGCTCAGAGAGGCAGAGAAAGCAACCAGCTGACCTTCCTTCTCAGCCTATATCCCAAAAGGAAAAAGGAAAAGAAAAAAAAAAAACCTCCTTCCCCACACTGTCTCAAAAAAACCCTCAAAACTGAATGTTCCTCCCTTCTATTTCCTGTGCATCTCAATCCATCCTCCTGACTTCCTATTACTCTCCATGGTTTTATCCTATGTTCATTCTCTGTCAACTGGTTGTTTGAGCCACCTCTTAACCGATGGTTGACTTTATTTAATTCTGTTTACAATAAGCAAAAAGTTCTTACATTAAAGGTATGTGCTATGGCTGAGGCACACCACAACTAGAAACAGATTTTTCCAGTAAAAATCAGTGTCTTGGGGCTCATAGTGTAATACAATATCCTGCAACAGATCATAAGGTGTCACCAGCCAGCAGTGACACTGAATACCACCTGAGAGAGGGCTGGGGAGAGAGAGACAGGGCGACACAGAGAAGGACACAAGTCTACATGCTGATCAAAGTGTCGATTTAATGGACGTCAGGTTAATACTTAAGTAGGCAGAAAAGTACAAGCAGTTTCTCAAGTAGGAGCTTTACTTGGTCAAAACATAGGAGAGCTCACTCAAGGTTACACAGAGCCCGCTGTCTGGTTACTATGGTTGCACAGAGTTTCTCAGGGTCAGAGCAGTCTGCTGTAGGACCACCAAGGTCAGTCTGTGAGAGACTGGACTTTGGAAAATAGCCAGAGCCAAGAGGCTTGAATTCCACTGCTCAGATGCCATTAACTCCAAAAAGGCTGCCACAATTCCTCTCTTTTGAATTAAAGCAAAGGGACCATGCCTGTCTTAGGTGGGGGTGATTCCCAATAAATATCTAACCCGTCATGGGAGAATCCCACTTTTAGGGGGATTTCCGTGTCTTAAGTTGGTAAATATCCAATCACCCAGAACTCGCCATTAACTAACCGGCCCATCACACAGGAGAGGAGAGGTTAAAGCTCACGTTTGATCTGGGCAAGCCAAGCCTCTACCTGGGGCGAGGGAGTCACAGCATGCCGCTGTTTCAATGGCATTAAATCTAGCTTGGCACTGTTGAGCTAAGTGGACCACATCTGGCAGTAACAAAGATGAATCGTAGCAGACCAACCAAACAAAGGTGTGCTAACATGTACAGGGAGAACAAGAGGGGGATTGGGCACTAAGGCCCAAAGGTATAATTCAGCCTTCACTGGATGAGTCAGCTGCAGCATTATTAGCAATATCATCACTTGGGGAATGATCTTGTTTCCTGATGTAATCCACTTGTTGCACCAGTCTCTTTGGCAGCCATGGAGCAGCATCTTTAACCTGCAAAAACAAAACAAAACAAAACAAAACAACAACAACAACAACAACAAAAAACCCTACAAACATATCCTTGTCCTCAAATTTCCCAAATTAAAATGGGGTTGGGTCCATCCCATGTATTATTCAAGGGGTCCCTCCATTTAACCATGGAGGTTTTAGGGTGCCAAAAATGTTTAGCTGCAGATTTGCCATGTTCAAAGTTAAAAAAATTAAATTGAACTCTGGATGAACGAGGAGGACATAATTCCCCCTTTTTTTGTTTTTTTGTAAATACATCTTAATAGTGGCATGGGCATGTTTAACCATGCCTTGGCCCATAGGACTATAAGGAATACCTGTTACATGCTTAATAAATATTTTTTTACAAAAAATTTGAAAGGGCTTGTTGGTATAAGCTGCTTCATTATCAGTCTTAATTTGGTGTGGCATGCCAAGAACAGCGAATGCAGCCAAACATGATCTATAATGTGGCGTGCATCTTCTCCAAAATGCAAGGTAACAAAAATAAATCTTGTACAGGTATTAATAGTTACATGAATAAATTTTAATTTTTAAATTTTATAAAATGAGTCACATCTATCTGCCACAGCTGACCTGGGGTCAGCCCTCAGGGGTTAACCCCAAGATGAGGTACTGGACAGAAAACATCACAATTGTTATAATTTTTAACATTTTTTTTTTGCTTGGTTTTTTGTCACGCCATAAGTTAAACGTAAAGAGTGACTATTAAGATGATGTAATTTATGAGCCAATTGAGCTTTTAGTATAGGTGTTTCTTGAGCCAAGATTATTAAGGCTTTATCAGTCGTCCGGTTACCTAAAGCAAGAGGTCCAGGATGGCCAGAATGGGCTCTAACATGAATAATAGCAAAAGGATTATGAGGAGCCTGAATAAGTCTTTGAATCTGAGCAAAAATTTGACTAGCCCGAGTGGTAGAAAGAATCTGGCCTGCTGTTTCAAGCTTAGGAATAGCTTGAGCAATATAAGCACTATCAGTTAATAAATTGAAAGGCTCAGAAAAATGTTGTAAAACTGTGTGGATAGCCACCAATTCAGCAAGTTGAGCAGTTAACCCTGGAACTTGAAAAATAACTTTTTGTCTATTAACAGAATAGCCAGCTTCTTTTTTACCATTACCATCAGAAAAAATAGAACAAGCATTTTATAAAGGTTTATTTTTAATTATGGTAGGAAAAACAACACTATGTAAAGTAAAAAAAAATTGAATAATCTTATTGGAAGGGTAATGATTATCTAGTTGTAGCCAAAGAAAGTAACCATTTATCTGAATTGGTGTAAAGCCAATTAATTTAAACTTTACTATATGTTATAATAATCTTGGAAGGCTAAATTCCAAAGTAAGCCCTTGCCTGGGGCTCCCAACACAATAACATGGGCCTCATAATAAGGCAAAATAAAAAAAAAATAATAAGGCAAAATTACTTTATTGGGACTAGCTGACAAGTGGATCCACAATAGAGGATTAGATTGCCATACCAATCCAGTAGTAATTGACTGTGTTTGAAATACAAGTAATAGGAGAAGAGTATCTGGATCCCAATATGTTACAAATTGATTTTTTAAAGCCTTTTCCATTATCAATAATGTATTTTGAACCTCTGGAGTCAATTTGTTTTTTTGGGGGGTGGTAGGAGTTGTATATATCCCCTTTAAGAATATTAAACAATGGCATTAGTTGTCCAGTGGCTAATTTTAGATATGGCCTAAGCCAATTTATATCCCCCAATAATTTTTGAAAGTCATTAAGGGTCTTTAAATTATTTTTTCTAATTTGTACTTTTTGATGTTTAATAGCTAGAGGAAATAAACTAAAACCTAAATAACTATAAGGATCTCTAGTTTGTACCTTTTCTGGAGCAATTTTTAGTCCTGCTTGGGACAAAGCCTTAGAAAGATCTGTATAGCCAGCCATAATATTTTGAGCTATAGGAGAGGCTAGTAAAATATCATCCATATAATGAATAATATAAATACAAGGCCATTTTTTTGTACTGGACTAATGGCATTAACTACAAATTGTTGACATAAAGTAGAACTATTTGCCATGCCCTTTACTAACAATGTTTTATGGGTGTTTTAAAAGTAATAGAAGGAAGACTAAAAGCAAATCTATGGCAATCCTCAGGATGCAAAGGAATGAAAACAAAAAACAGCCTTTTAAATTTAAAATAATTTTGTATGTTTTTTGAAGAATCCCACTAGGTGATGGGAGTCCTGGTTGTAATGTTCTCATAATTATTATAGTCTCATTTTTTAAAATCTTGTAATGATCTAAATTTATTAGATTTTTTAAAATTATAAATAAGGGCGTGTTCCACAGTGAGTTAGAGGGAACTACATGCCCTATAATGGTTAACAATGTTCTGAATATAACCCTGTATAGTCCTGGGCTAATATGGAGCTTTAGTCCTTTTCTCCCTATAAAAGAGCATAAGCAAATACTTTGCATTGAAGAATCTCCAGCCTTTTTAAATGAAGAACAACATATTTTATAGTTTTTTCCTGAAACGATACATTATAATAACTGCAGGTTTCTTAATTGGCTCAAATAGCTTGGTTTTACTTTGTAAAATTAATAAAATAAATACCAAGGTCTTTTGACCTCCCCCAAAGGGTTGATAAATTGTTTTAAGTTCTTTGTTAGACTGCCCAAAGGTTATTATTTTAAAATACCTGATAAATTTTTAAATGTTTTATAGAATTTAACTCCCATGGTGTAGGACCAAACTCAGAGGTGCTGATTTAAACTGTCTCATGTCCAAAAATATCAATATCATTAGTCCAATTCTACAGATAAACATACATACAAAGATAAACATACACACATACACATACATAAGGAACGTAGAAATCTGACATTGCCACCTTGGAGTAACCAGAATACCCAAATACCAGGACTTGACTGGTCCCTACCAGACACAAGTCCCACAGATTCCAGGAGTGGACCCTCTCATGGGCCCCCTCCACACACATAGATTCCAGAAGGAACAGAGCCCCCATGGTCCTCTCCACAGCTTCCAGATGGAGAGCGAGCTCCAGCAGCCCTCTCTCCATCCAGAGTAGGGTCCCAGCGACCCTCTCTCCGGGTCCCAAAAGGAGTAGAGCTGTTACAGGCCCTTGGGGCCCTCTTTTGGCCCCCTCCCCAGGAACTGGAGCATCCTCCAGATTCCCTTGACCAAATTGGAAACTCTCCGAGCTTCCCCAGACCTCATGAGCAAATGGAAACCAGAAATCAGAACAGCCGGCAGACAAAAAACAAAAATCAAAGAGGAAGACAAGAAACAACTGCAGTACCTGCTTTTTAAACAATTAAATATTTTTTTAAAACCTGTTTTTGCAATATTAAAACAAAGCATCCTCTTTAGGAGTGAAATCATAAAGCATGTTGATAATTTTAAAGGTCAAAACCAAACTTTAAAATTTACCAGTGCAAACAATCCAGTTTTTAAAACCAACACCAATTTAAAATGAGACATGTCTTTTCAGTCTAAAAGGAAACAAAATTTATGTTAACTAAGAGGTTTTATAATAATCTTTTAACCCATAACATATAGCAAAAATGACAGTTATATCATATGGTTGCCTTCTAAACATATGTGTTTACAGATCTTATAAACATATATGCATATATATATTCTAAACAACAGTTTGAATATAACTTTAAAATATATTTAATTACTTTTGATTTATAACTTAGATATATATTAACCATTTAAGATGACCATATATTTAAACAGACAAATAAAACTCTCTTTATTGGATTCAGCTGTAATTTTAAGTCAAGTCAAGAGCAGCCCAATATCAGCACAAAGTTTAATATAACCAGTTAAGTTTGCTTTAGTTAAATAGGGCCTGATAGCTGTTTTACAGGCTGAATTAGCATTCTCAAAAGCCAATTGCTGCACAAAAGGAAGTCCACTGTGAGTGAATACTCCTTTTGTGTTACATTAAATTATTATTATTATTTATTACTATTATTATAAATATTTAATAATTGAACCTGTTCTCTTTTTAATTGGATTTTCTCTCAGAGAACAGTTATATCTTCCTGCAGTGATCCCGTGCCACCCACACCTATTGTTGCGGGGGAGGCTCAGGAAGCGAGTCTGAATTATAAGACTTGGCAGCTTTTTTTTCTCTGACTCCGTTTCACACTCATTATCTAGAACTTGTCTCCTAAATCAGTTTTTGCTCTCAAATTACACAAATCTGTTTGAGCTCCTTTATGAACATTTGAAATAACCTTAGAAGTACTTTTTTTTGCCTGTTTGCTGCTCTAATTTTTCCAAGCAACTCTTTAGTTTTACAAAGTAAAGAGATTAGGGAGTTTTATTCTAATTCTGTGTGTCTTAAACACCTATTGAAGGGATCTGATGGATCCCATCTTACTAGTTCCCTGCCCCTGACGGCCACCTGACTTTACCTTAGTCAGTTGCTTTGCGTGTGCTCCTGTTGGTCCGTATAACTTGCCTCAGCTGGTCCTCCGTCTCAGGTTCTCAGGGTTTCGGCTCCATCTGTCACCAGCCAGCAGTGACACCTGAATACCACCTGAGAGAGGGCTGGGGAGAGAGAGACAGGGTGACACAGAGAAGGACACAAAGTCTACATGCTGATCAAAGTGTCGATTTAATGGACGTCAGGTTAACACTTAAGTAGGCAGAAAAGTACAAGCAGTTTCTCACATAGAAGCTTTACTTGGTCAAAACATAGGAGAACTCATTCAAGGTTACACAGAGCCCGCTGTCTGGTTACTGTGGTTGCACAGAGTTTCTCAGGGTCAGAGCAGTCTGCTGTAGGACCACCAAGGTCAGTCTATGAGAGACTGGACTTTGGAAAATAGCCAGAGCCAAGAGGCTGAATTCCACTGCTCAGATGCCATTAACCCCCAAAAGGCTGCCACAATAAGGCAATAAGAAAGAATGTTCCTTTGCCTAATTCATACACAAATCAAATTTCTGTTGACTCTCTTTGGCTAGAAAAAGAAAGTTCCTCCTAGCCAAATACCAAGCTCCCTTTTTTTGTCATCATACACTAACCATAGGGAGTCAGACTTTCTTCTTAAGGTAATATTTTGACACAAAGAAGTTTCTGTACAACATAGTTCAGTACAGTTAAAACGGCTGTGATGTGAGCACTTAAATTGTTTCGTGTATAATTACTTCTTTACTAAACATATTCAACCAAAATATTTATTGCTGTTCAGTTAAGCATGAAAGAATAATTGCCTAAAATGTCAAAATTACTACTGATTAATCAGAAAATATTTTAAAATTCAGATTAACATTTAAACCACAAAAGGTGGGAATTTAAAGAGGAAAGGTGAATGTAAAAATAACAAATTTAAGGAGAGATTTGCTTTGAAGAACTAATCTTGTTACCTAAGATTGTGGTTATTCAAATTTGTCGATATAATTAAAAAACAAATAATTATAAAGTGTAGACTTGAGGGATTTCTATTGTATTTAGGACAATAAATCTAATTTACAGAAAGAAACATTTAAGAGATTTTTCAGGAAATTCACTGAAACCCTTAAAGTAAGAAAGAGTACTAAATTACCTCAGATAATCCTAATATAATCCAAGTAACACCATTTCCTGCATTTGCTTGATTTTGAAGAGGCCTTGGATTGCTATATTTGTTTCATGAGCATTGAAGCTTTAAGGTACCTTCTGAACCTGCTCCTGCTCTTTGTGGGAGGTCCATTGGGACATTCTTTATGCAGTTCTCCTCAGATAATCTTCATCCAGGCTGTTTACTTTTGGAATCTTGATTCCTTACTTAGGTACTTAAGCGAAATTTTGGAGAGGCTTTCCTAGGCCACAGAGAATGCAGCCAGACCTCATGAGCTCGTCAGACTTGATAGGCTGGGGTCTGTTGGTAGAGGAGGAGGGCTCCCCCTTTCTGAGGACTAGGGGAGGTAAGGGAAAGAATGTGGGACTGGAATGAGACAAGGGAGGGGGATATGATCAGGATATAAAGTGAATACATTAAAAATTTTAAATCAGAGTAAGAGAAGGAGAGAGGGAATGTGTGTGTGTGTGTGTGTGTGTGTGTGTGTGTGTGTGTGTGTGTGT